CACTGCTGGTAAAAATGCTTCATCATTATCACATCATAGAAAAGAAAATAATAAACACGATGTATATATCTTTTGAATGGCGAATGAGTAATCATTTGATTGAATTAAAAATATATAGCAGGAAAAGTATTGAGTTGAGAAAATTTTCTAGACACTTCCACAGTCCCCTGCTCGGCTTTGGGTCTTCTCACAGTGACTCACATATAAACAAAAAGAACAAAGACCAGAGTCCAAAGTAGCAAAGCAGCTTGTTAACATAGGCAATTGAAAGAACTCTCCAGGCAAGGAATACTTTCTAAGAATTTTTGCCAGGAAAATAAAAATTTCTTAACTAAAAAAATATAAGCAGTTTTTGACCATAAAAATATTATATAAGACTTTTTTGACCTTAAAAACGTCACATTTGCGTGTTAGGTTGTCAACAATGTAGCTCAAAATCCCTTTCCCAGGAAGGAAAGAACAGTTAATTAGAAGAACAGACCCCGTCGGCTTCTCCTGATATAGCTCTTGACAAGAGAATGATCTGTCGTTCAACTTCCATATATGGTTGTGCCTTGTACACGGCGCTGATGCACCCATATAGTCCGGTCTGCGCAAAAAATTGTCGCTATCGTGCAAATCCGGATAATACCCGATTTGTATTATGGCGTCGTTTACTACAACTACCAGAATGCTTTGCCAACTTTCTTATGTAATGCCATTAGTGCCAAATTGTTTTTTCAATCTCCAAGGGGATTAAAAATCTGAATAACAATGATAATGCGCAAGGCTCTCTGGTAGTTGTAGTAAAGTTACGCCATCATGCAAATGGCCTTTGGATTTGGATTAATTTTAGTCCTGGCCCCAAAAATAAAGAGTACAGTGAGGGCGTCGAGAAGCACATTTTAAGAGACCTAATTTGCATACGACTTCTTTGCGCTTTGCTTCAATTTGCATAAAAATGTGAGTGTAACGCTATTTTGAACAGACAGTATAGGGGCGAAGTAAATATGTTTTCATCAAATTGATATTTTGCATCAAATGTTTTTTTCATAAACCCGTGAAACAAAGTGTAATAATTAGAGTGTAATAGATCGTAATAGTCGCGTAGGGGTTGGTTTACTAAACTGAAAAGAAATTTATATGRCTATAGGGACATAACAGCCTTCTATACACCCATAACSCATARATGGAAGTCGTACGACAGACTACATACTCGGGGCAGAACTCCTTGGCAAACCATAAATCCACAAACGGGATACCTGTGTTTGATCTCATCTGATTGTCACGTGTATCGAACCAGACAYAACAAGCATGCGCAGAAAATTTGCAAACAAATATCCAAGATGGTGGCTGAATCTGTACAAGTGCTTTTATTAACTTTTTTAGTTTATTTAATTTCTTACTCCGACCAAGAAGTCCTTCCAAAGTCTACAATTACTATTGCAAAACGCAGTTTTAAATTAACAAAAAGGTAAATAATATTAGAATTATAGAATTGCTAGTATTCCCAATGTCATGTCGTCMTGTTTTCTTACTTCCTTGACAAAGTTTCGATATTTTGAGTTTGTAAATTGTTTTTCTTTTCTAGAACTTGGGTATATAAAGACGCAAAGGACACATACAAAATTAATATCTTTGAATCTATAAAGAATTGCAACGGTGCTAAAGTTTGTAAAGGCACCACGAGTTTGGGGAAGACGTACTCCTCGACATTGGCCTCTGATGGCTCAGGATTTACCTTAAATTTCACTGATGGATTTTGCGATAGCAAGGATAAACTGAATACTTTGATACAATTTAAATGTGGAAAGTACATGGTAAGAATAGGATATAATAAAGATTTGATGACATAAATCATGAAATCAACAGTAACACACATGACGGTGTTTGTACTGTACATAGTCCAGTCTTGTACCCAGGGGCTTCGTTTTCTTGGACAGCGAAAACGTAAGGATCTGGGGTAACGGAATTTTCCGTGACCTTGTTTCTTGAAATAGAACAAATGCTTCRGGAAGTTAAATTACTCCAAGGAAAACATATTTTATGTTGTTATCTCGATATTTTAACTTAGTTCTTGCTTTTTGAAATGATTCATTAAAGCGACGTTTACACGAGCAATTTTTCTTGACAAGTTTCTTGACAAGGAAAAATTGTCCGTTTAAATGGTCAACAAGTTTTCCTTGACAATTCCTCGACAATTTTTCCTTGCCACATTTTCCTTGTTGTCCATTTACACGAGCAAATTTCATCCTTGACAATTTCCCTAGAAGGCGAGGTTCCGTGCCCGTGCCGTGATCCGTGCCTTTGCACAGTCATACAAAATCCGCTATAACGATCAATTCGTCAGTCGTGTCAGGTCTTGCACTCTCTTCATTCACTGTCAGCCTCCTTTGCTGATTTCGTTGCAGATTTTCTTATGGTGTTCAGATCAATTCCTCCCCCAACAAGGTCTGCACACTCAAGCGATGGTTTTGTCTGCCATGCTTGTAATATGTTCCGTTACACCCAGTTTAGTTGTTTTTCGTATATATGTGTGAAATGTCAAAGCAAAAGACTTGCTACAAATAAGTAAATAMTTAAATTGATCTAATTAATCATCGGCGTCGATCTTCGTGCTTTTTCGCTTGTTTTGTGGAATTTGATTGTTTTAAGCGTTTTGTTTTCGCAAGATTTTCACGCTGTGTGCTCAWTTTTTATTCAAATGAAACGCTCAAAAAGGAACAGTTTTTGTTCTTTTTTGTCTTTTGATGCCAATAAAGTATGCTCTTTGTATGAATAAGATATGTTTTAATTGACCAGACAAAACTCATTGCATTCAATTAGTTGTAYACTGTTGTCAATCAAAATTTCCAAGCAAACCTCAGGTTGCATCAAAGCACTTTAGGTATTGGCTCACTAAATGTCTATATAGTCTATTGTAGTTGTGAAGTTTTATCAAGCAAGAAATGGTACATGTAAGCCTGCTTTAGAAATCCATCGAAACTTAGTTATAGTGTGTTGCATTGTCCATTGTTAAACAYATGTTTTTGATAATAGCATGAATCATACATAATTCAGTGTTTACTTTGATAGGGTGCACCAGTATTACTGGATGAATTTACAACARCAAGTTCCTGCGTAAAGATATTTGAGTTCATTACTAATGAGGCATGTAAAAAGCCTCCCACAATATCTGAGGTGCCTTGTTACTTGTATAATGGTACTAAGAGGATTGACTTGACGCCACTCATCAAAACTAAAGGTACACTGTTATTCACAAATTAAAGTTAGTTATTGATGTATTATAAGGTAATAATGTTCCATCAGAGAATTTTATCTATTAGTAATTATTTTTAAATATTTAAATTAATTGATTTAAAAATACTTTATTATTATTAGTGAATATATCAACTTTTGGAGAACTGCTTGAATTCTGAATGATTTTTCCAACAAAATTAACTTTATAGCAAAATCTTTCTCATATTATATGCCAAAAATGACATTGACAGTTGTATGGAGCAAGTGAAACACACATTCAAATTTCCTCATAGAAGAGCAATATTCCAACTACAAAGTAAAACCCTTGAATTCACAATATTCAGTGAAACATACTTTAATATTGCAGTATTTTGCATTTATAAAATAGTTAATACTTGTTACACATTTGTTATTGAGTGCATTTAATAACAACCAAGTTTTCTTTAATTATTAGTATTGTGTGATTGAATCAAGCATTATGTTTTATGGTACATGTATTTTAATACTAGTTACAATMTTTTTATTTTTATTGTCAGGAGGTCATGAGGTTGCCAATGATGTGAAAGGCCATGATTTCTTCATCAATGTGTGTAGAGATATCACACCAGATAAGAGTACTGCTAACTGCCCCAGTGGTGGTGGATGCAGAACTGGTTCAACACCGATTTCCATTGGGGCTCTGACTGCTGACTCAATACCAACCCTGTCAACCAATAAGAAAACAATAATTATGGTCTATAAGACAGATACGAAATTAGCAGAATGTCAGGGTGCTGCTTTAACCAARATCACATTTGTATGCCCACAAACTCTTAACAAATTGGTAAGAATATAGATAAACCATGGCCTACACCTATTAATTAATACCATTTAATATTGAAATATCAACCTTTGATTAAAGCACAAGAAACKGCGTCATTTTGSCATTCATAATATCACTAAGAATGTCTTTACTGTGGCATTACAACATTTAAGAC